TATCAAAAAAAAATTGTATTCCACTTTAATTATGCCTAGAAAATGTTAGATTGATTACAAAAATTAATTCTTGAAAACTTGATAATATAAATATTTAGAACAAAATATACTCCTAGGCATAAATAAGAATAAAGCTTCGAGCTAGAGTTCCTTGGTAAATGTGACCATCACAGATGGTCCAATCTGGTCAGTCACTGAGTAAGATATCCCAACATTCTTTAACTTACTCATGTTCCACTTCAAGAGTAACTACATTGATTGAGGCTCGTAATGCCCAAGGGGCAATGAAATATTGGTCGGGGCTAGTGGCATTCACCAAAGTAGACAGCTTAAGGATGTGTTGGTTCTTTCCAAGCTTAAGAGGAATGTGAAGAAAAATGTCCTTGAAAGTATGATCAAGACAACGTAAAAACCATGTCTTTTGGAGGCTGAAAACCACTGAGTGTCATCACACCACCCCCCTTGTCCATCCCTCCATAACAAAGAGAGAAAACGTCCTCCATGGCATTCTTCTCAACACCTCTGTCGTCGCTGGTGGAGGCGCCATTGCTGCCACTGGGTGGACCACTGGACCCGTTGGATCTAGAGCCTACGGGTCCAGATCTGCTGCTGGCACCTGTTCCCACGGGGACTGGGAGCTGCAGTTTCACTGGCCATTTACTCGCTTTCCTCTAGAGCTACGCCCTTTCCCTAAAGCAGCGGTGGAGATCCTCCATGCTGGGAGTGACAGTAGCGAGACTGTAGCTCCGGATCTGCTGCTGGTGCCTGTTCTTGCGGGGATTGTGGTGGTGATTGAGCGGGAGATCTCTGAGTAGAAGATCTCTGCCTGGGAGATCCAGGAGCCACAGCTTCACTGGGCATTTATTCGACTGCATCCCTTTCTTGCCCTTTCCCTAAAGCAGCAGTGCTCCACATCAGGCAATTTGTGCAGGAAAATTTAAAAGATCTCAACAAAAAAAGTTTGGATGATGATAGGAAAGACACTTGCATGTGACATGTGTTGCTATGCCTTCTTCTCCCGCCCCACACAGCTTGGCCGCCTCACATTGACTGAGAGCAAACATCAGAAAAATTTCTCACGCAACCATGGCTACCGACCCTGACCGGGGCCTGGGATCCAACGGCCAGCAAGCCTCCCCGCTATCGCTTTATATGTAAAGATATATATCTTACATTATTGTCTCCTTTGGAAGATAAAAAGGTGATGATGATAAATTAAGTGGAACATCTAAAGCTTCTATTAGGTGATTATAGACTACTATAAGAATCTGAATTTTCTATAAAACCACCAACGTAATTGCTAATAAGTATGACTAAAAAAAATTCAAAGCTATAACATAAACATCAATTAACTATAGATTCCTGATGAACTAATTTCAACTCTATGTGCAATTGCTAAATGTTCAAACCAACCTTGAAGCCATAACTTTGAACTAAAACAAAAGACTTTAAAAGCCATTATAATCCTCATTGTAGTAAATAATATATCCCATCTTTAGGTTTGTTTATTGACAATCTTCTAAGACCATTATTAACTCAAATTTATGACTATTATCTTTATCTAACACCACATATAGAAGGTTGAACTCACTCTATTTATTTTCTATATCCTCTTTATCCCTTTAAAGAAAAAACACTTCTAAAGTATCAACTTTGTTCAAATTTATTGCATTAATCCTTATTCTACTATCTATGTTCTACCTCACTTCACTATTGCATGTATTTAACCTCACTAAATTGGGGCTAAATGTTTTATTCAAACTTGCTATATTCGTCTTTATTCCATAATCTATGTTGTTCATCCTAGCACAACTACAATATCTATTTGTCCCAATTTTATCATTGAGGCCAAGCTCTTATCTAGAAATTTTTAGCTACTATCAAAACAAAAATGATGAAAAAAATAAATGTGCTCAAAACATAGAAAATAAAGGGTTTTTTATTATAAAATACTTTAGCCACCACAATATAAACAAAAGATTCACACTCCTCAATATACAACTTAACACTTGAGCTAAGAGAATTAATAGAAAATTTACTCTTAAGAGAACACAAACTCTTTATCAACAATGATAAAACAAAAGCTTTTAACAACACTCACAATTAGGGACATATACTCAATTTTGGAATAGGAAATACTTAACACTAGAATTGATCAAAGACTCTGCCAAATAAACAAAAGCAAGATTATTAACTTCTTGCATATGTTTAACATCTAAATTAGTATGAGGAAGACAAAAAACACTTAACTCAACATTAGACCGAGAATGAGAATTATAAAAGTCATAAATGATTAATGTGCCATGAGAAGGAAACATTGAAAATAAGGAAGAAACACTAAAAATATAAAAAGTTGGATCAGGTTGAAAAATAAAAAAAGGTTGGGAAAGAGTAAAAGGTAAAATGAAAGGAATAGATGGCAAATTAAAAGATTGATATCTACCCTGTGAAATCTTTAATTCATCTCTAAAACTATCTTTTCAATGTCTAGTATTGGAAGAGGCTAAGAAGGTGAATTATTACATAAAAGAAGGGAGTAGCAATTCTGAATTTATGCTTTAAATGAGCACCTTCACACTACTATTATAAAGATGATTAGATCATTTACAACAACAATAGCTTAATGTGAGAACGAGAATGAGGCCCACTAAATGTTACTCAACACCAGAGATGCCTAATAAAAAAACAAGAGAGGATTATCTAAGTGATGAAATTAGTTCATCATTTGGCTCTACCTTTTAACATTATCAAATCTAAGGTTAAAAAATTTAAAACTTTCATACAAAAGAAGATTATTCTTCTCATGTAAACTCAGTCAATGCTTGAAAGTTTCTTCTGGGGATAGCACAAGAGGAAGAGGAGAAGCTATATGTTGGAAAAGAGGAGCCTATAATTTTCCATCATGATTGATAAGAGTACTGATAAAGCATTGGAGAAACACTGGATTGTTTAATATTATCTACCTAGAAGCTAGAGGTCAGCTAGTTTGCAAGTTTATAAGGCTTTTCTTTATTGAAGGAAGAATGGTGGAGGCAATTGTTTTTACTCCAGAAGCTCTCTTCTTACAACTTGAGCTAGATTTGAAAAAGCTTGACTCTGATAAAGCCACAGGATAAAGTCTCATCCCTAATTGGATGTAGAACAAGTGTGGTACAATATTTGAAGGAGAAGCATTGTAAGATCCTTGGTGTTCATTGTGTTGTTTATAGGGAGGTGCTTGCTGCAACAGATGGTTCAACTTTTAATTGTAATGCTTTTTATGAGATTGATAAATTGGTCAAGGAAAATGCTATTATTGCATGAAGTATATTGGTTATTTCATAATCAAGTTATATAACATTTGGTTCAATCTATACCAGCTTTATTAGAGCAACGGCAAGAACTAGAGAAAGTAAAATATAAGATGTTAACAATATTTCAAGTACTTAGTGTCTTTGTCATGGTATGGTAGATACTTGTTTAGTGTAAGTCTAATTTTTCATTCATTTATTGGCATACATGTTTTTAGAGTTGAACAAATTTAGCCTTCTAGTATGAAAAGAATGTCACCAACTACTCTAAGCTTAGAGATTAATTGGATGTGATAGTGGAGAGGTTATATTTAGATCTATTTTTGGAGGTAATTCTCCAAAGTAAAGAAGGTTCATTATCATTCATCAACATGAGTGGTGTGATAGAGGTATACAACCCCAACTCTGTACATATACATTCTTCTCAAGTAGGAATTAATTTAAATGTTAGTATAATGGGAGTAGAGTTAGGTTCTTCTGATGATTCAATCTTTAAAGAGAGGATGTACATGCAAGTTACCATGGAGATATCAATTCCCTCAACAGTATAAAGCAAATTAATCCATACTCCTACTTTACAAGGGACTTTGAAGATTAATAAGTTACAAAAAGATGCTGGCTCAAAAGTCTTATGTACAAAATCAACTTTAACTCATCAAAGGCTGATATTAAAATTTGTCACAATGAAGTGGAAGACTTCATCAACTTCCTCTCCAAAGCTTGTTCAACATGAGTATTTGTAGCAATGAGCAAATCTAGTGAAATATATTTCTAGGTAATGAATTCTTTACTACTTTTTTATTCTAACTCAAATATTAGTACAGGTTTAATGAAATTGTGATAAGTCATTCTAGCCAACACTGCTGCATGCAAAAGAGGTTTCTTATTCCAGAACAATTTAAAAACAGATATGAGAGTTTGATTATATTTACTCTACTCATTAATGATAGTAAACCTTAATAGCTTAAAACAGTAGATTGGATGAATATTTTTTGTTTGCTTAGTGAGGTGGTAGTGGATATACCTAGAATATGCTTCAATATTCTAGGATCTTCCACAATCTAACGGTTGTTATTCATTTAGATTAATATTGTATTTATAATTTATAAAACTTCCTAAATACTTTCTAGTATATTCTATTTTATTCTAGCTGATATAAGAGTAATCTTATGGTTATACATGTTTACAATTATAAACTTCCATTTGATCAATTAGATTAATAACATTACTATTAAAAAAACCAAGCATTGTTGCATGCAATGAGTAGCAAATTATTCAAATTTAGAGAGATTTAGAAATCACTTAAAAAGTTTAAGTGATATTGAAAACATTTGCTATACATTTTATGCAGCAATTCTTAGTTTGCTTAATAGTAGTGTCATCCCTATTTATTAATCTAATTTATCAAATGGAAGTTTATAATTTATAAATACAAGATTAATCTTATTAGATATCAAGATGAATAAATGAATAATAACTGTTAACATATTTTAAAATATTCAAAAATATTCTAAGCTTAAAAAAACCTAAAAATTAGAACTAATTTATCATGTCAAATGAAAAACTTGTTATGTATATAAAATCAGTAAAGGAAAGGTAGAGGGTCTGGTGAAGTTTCTGCCTGCTCCATGATGTTATCTCAGAGCATTGAGCATATACAGCAGCGAGGTCAATTTTCCAGACAACAATCCAGAGGTGCCCACAGCCGCGAGCAAGCCACTGTGTGGCGGTGTGTGGCAAGGGCATCGAGCAAGAGGCTATGGAGATTGCGAAGAAGCTGTAGAGATACATTTTTTTACAAGCGGAGGAAGATTGTGGAATCATTCCGATCACGAGCCACAGATATTTGTGGAAGGATATTCTCGTGGGCATGAAATTAGCGGAGTAAATATTTTCCTGAATAGATATTGACAATGATTCCTCTCAAAGTCAAAAGTTACGTATAGTTACGTAAGATCAAAGCTGCAATAGTTTGTATAGAAGTGATTCATTGGGCGAGGAAGTTTCGACTCCTAGGAGCATGGGAATCACTATAGCGATCCTCGTGTGCTTGCTCGCGACCGCGGCGATCATCAAGTCACTGCGCGCAAGGAGATCGTCCAGACTCCCGCCCGGTCCAATCTCCTTCCCGGTGGTGGGATCTTTGCTCTCGCTCCGCCAGCCCCTCCACCGCCACTTCGCGCGCCTGGCCGATCGCTACGGCCCCATCGTCTTCCTCAAGATCGGCATGGTTCCATACGTTATCGCCAACACCGCTCGCGCCGCCGAGTTCTTCCTCAAGATCCACGACGCCGAGTTCGCCAATCGCCCCCAGTCGGAGGAGTTCTTCCGGATCTTCAGCTTCGGCTGGAGCGACCTGGCCTTCCGCTCACCGGGGCCCGAGTGGAAGCTCATGCGCAAGATCTGCGCCACGAACCTCTTCAGCAACGCTATGCTCGCCACCAGCGCCCCCTACCGGCGATCGCAGCTCCAGTCCGCCATGGACGCCATCCTCGATCGATCACGGGGCGGCGAGCCCGTGAACTTGCGGACCCTCTTCGCCCGATACACGTCGGGGTCGCTGTGCCTGACGCTCTTCAGCGAGGAGTGTCCCGAGGTGGTGGAGACGATCAACAACATGGCCGGGCAGGCGATCAACCTCAACATCGGCGAGATCATCCCGTCGCTCGACTGGATGGATCTCCACGGCGTGTACGCCAAGATGAGGGGCGAGATCATGCCCCGGATCAAGGCGCTGCTCGACGATCAAGTCCGGGAGCACCAGGAGCGCAAGAAGGCGGCGGGCGATGGGTTTGTCTGCCGCGACTTTGTGGACGTTCTCATCTCCCTGGACGAGAGTGACAAGCTCTCGGACCAAGAGATCATCGGCCTCCTGTGTGTAAGTGATCACCATCCTTCTCGATCCTCTTCTCTGCGATGTGACGATCGATCGAACTTTCTTCCAGGATATGGTGGGTGCCGGATTCAAAACCTCCATGGAGTCGATCGAGTGGTGCATGGCAGAAGTGATCAGTAAACCCGAGATCATGCGCAAGGCCCAAGAAGAACTGGATCAAATCATCGGGAGGGAGCGCGCGGTGGAAGAACACGATCTTCAAAACCTTCCATTCATCCAGGCGATCCTCAAGGAGGCCCTCCGCCTCCACCCGGCGGTGCCCCTGGGAATGCCCCACTACAACCTCCGCCCCGTGGAGCTCGGCGATGGCCATGGCACCATAATCCCCGCCAAATGCAAACTCCTCGTCAATCTCTGGGCGGCGAACCGCGATCCAGCGCACTGGACAAGCCCCCACGAATTCCAGCCCGAGCGATTCCTGGGGACCAACATCTCGCCCGGGGGGCAGCACTTCCAGATCATCCCATTCTCCGCCGGGAGGAGGATGTGCGCCGGCTATGGCCTTGCCATGCGCTCCCTCTTCTTCCTCCTCGCCAGCCTGCTACACGGATTCATCTGGAGCGAGATCTCGGACAATCCCATCGCACTGGAGGAATCGATCGGAACCATTTCGTGCCCACCTGCGAAGGACCTGATCGTCGCGGCGTCGCCCAGGATCGAGGAGCGAATTCTCGCTCAGTACTAAGAACCCTAATCTGGCAAGAGAATATTCTGGCAAAAGCAATGTGTTTGTAATGGATATTCTAGTGAAGGGGTTTATCGGGGGTTTGATCCAAATGCTCTCGAATCAATGTCCGGTGCTCTGCGAAGATCAGCTCCTCCATTCTCAGCGGTGAGATTTCCTGGAGAACTTCTCGAATTATTTGGAGCTTGTAGCCACCCCCGCCTTCTTCCTTGCTCCTCCAGCGCCAGAGCTACTGGGAGACACGCGGAGCAACACTCGATTGGTTCTCGAATTACTCCAGATTCGAGTCGATTATCCGTTAGCAATTCAGCAAATCTTCCCTTCCCAGGTTTTGATGGCTGTGTGTGGGAATTCAGGTACCAAGATCTCAATGAGCGATGCCATAGAAAAGAATACTAATTCCAGGGATGTAAAACAGCAATGTTAACGACATGGTGGAAGATGGCTAAGAAGAAATCGTCAACACGGATCTATCTTCGGATTGACAACTTCAAAGTTAGATATGCTCACGTTCCTCAGCTCTCTTGTATCCTTGGGCTTGGTGATGTTACTTCTTTGCAGCAGCCATATCTTCCTTGAAGAAACTTAAGATGTGGCAATAGATTCACGGGACATGAGTGCGTTTCAAGACTGTTCCTTTGATGCGGTCATTGACAAAGGTAACAAAGTAATAGTTTACTCTCAAGAGTCTCCTCTTACATTTTCTTTCTCTTTGTTTTTCAGGCCTGGCCGACGCCATGCTAGTAAGTGTTTGTGTCACCAAAAACATCCTTGTCTAATGCAATTTGCGTTCCTTCTTTCAGTGTGGAGTTGATCCGGCCGAAGGCGTTCTACACATGCTAAGAGAAACTTATCTCGCTTGCAGGATTTTGAGACCACAAGGAGTGTTTATGCTGGTAGGAAGAAAAAAACACTTCTATAGTTCCTGATCTATAAACATTCTCACTGCAGATCACATACAGCCACCCCGAAATACGAATGCCGGCGTTGCAGGAACCAGGATTGAAATGGTCCATCCTTCTGTACGCCTTGGGTATGTTTTGAGCTCAAAACGGGATAAGCTCACTCTGTGTGTTTTCTTCTCAGCCAAGCAAAGCCGTAATGGAAACCATTGAGGGAGTAACTCCAGATTCACTGCCCATTGACGAGCGCAACTGGTCTCAAGATTTTGGAATATATTTAATTAACTTTACTAGCTAAAAGTATTTATCTAACCACATTTTAATCTAAGATACAACTAATTACCTTTTCCCTCGCTACCATATAACAGCGAAAATGCTTGTGAGGGTTTATCACTTTCCATCCTCTCCAAGAGCGATCAAGTAAGACCAATCGATCATGGGAGTTCCTGGGTTTTTCGCCTGGCTCGTATCCAAGCATCCTCGGTGCGTGAGGGACGCGATTGATGGTGCCAAGAACAATATTCTTCGCTACGACAACGCGAACTTGTACGTGGACCTCAACACCATCATCTGGGTCATCCTGGAAAGCCACGATTGCCCGCCCACCTTCGCCACTTTTTACCAAGAGTTCCTCGACTCGCTCCGCAAGCTCGTCGCCATGGTGGCTCCGAGCAAGCTCGTCTTCCTAGCCCTGGATGGAAGGCCTCCCACCCCCAAGCTCTTCAGCAAGAAGCCGTGTCGCTACAATCGCGATGCTTCTCTCTCCTCCTTGTCCTCCTCGGAGGATGAGCTCGATTCCACCAAAGGTCAGACAGGTGATCTCATCCCACGCAATCGCAAGGCCAAGATGGCGATGGTCCGCCATGGAACGCCTTTCATGAACGGGCTGGAGAGTGAACTGCGACGATTTGTGGCAAGCATGATGCTGTCAAGTTCATATGATCATCGCCGGAGGAGATCAATGACTAGCTCGAGGCTCCAGTGGATCGTTTCCACGTCCGAGGAGGACGGGGAGGGCGAGCTCAAGATCTTCAACCACATACGGGCTCTGCCGTTCAACGCCCACGACTTCCACTGCGTGGTTGGACGCGACGCCGACTTGATCATGCTGGCTCTCGCTAGCCCGCTCTCCAGGAAGATCAACATCGTCCGCCAGACGCCGAAGGACGGAGTGATGATTTACAAACTCATCAGCATCGAGACGCTCGTGCGTGATTTCGAGGTGCAGATGGAAGAGCCGTGCTCCGTGCGGCTGCGGTCCACCATGAGGGATCTCGTGTTCCTGTGCTTCCTTCTGGGGAACGATTTCCTGCCCGGCCTGGAGGCGCTCACAATCCGAAACAATGGCATCGACAAGCTCCAGCAAACGTACATGGAGGTTTTCAGCGAGGCAGGGGAGTTTATAATCAACTGTGATGGGCATGTCAACATGAGAGCGCTGGAGCGATTTCTATTGCATCTGTCGAGGCAACTAGAGACATCAAAGAAGTTAGAATCTAGTGTTGAGACGAACATGATAATGTGGTCATCGTATATCAACATTCTAAGGTGGTGCGCAGACTATTATTTTAATGGAGTGGTGTTGGACGAGTCCTACTACTCGTGGGAGAATGCTCCAGCCATGGGAAGATTCATCAACTTCATGGGCACACACTCATGTGGCACGGTAAATTCAAGACCTCTACTCCCACCAGTTACTGCTACGAGCGTTCTTAACTTAAGACCTCAGTGGTTGAAATCCTGTTAATATCGTATGGAATGACGGTAAATTCTAGTAAGAGCAAAAGGGAAGATCGACCAGACTTTACAAACTTAGATCTTTAATACTAATATATACATTTTAAAATCAAAGAGTTCCCAGTATGAGTCGTCGGAGCGACCAAGCAATCCAGCCGCCGGCTGCTATCGCAGAAGCTTCTACTTCTCGGCACGGGTCTTGGAGAAGAGTGGTGTCAACCTTGAGGTTCCTGACGGCCTGGATGGTCGTGCCTGGCACCTTGTTCACAAGCCCCGGCAGCACGTCCACCTTGCACCCCCGCTCGATGGTCAGCTCGATGTTTAGCCTGTGGAGCTCCTGGCGGCAGCATAAGAATGTGCCATCTCCCACGCTTGGATATGATCCCTGGTCTCGATGGAGCACCGCCGATCGAGTTGAGCGAGACGTTGAGCCGGTCCTGCCTGTAAGTCCGGACGTGTGAGGTAGAAGGCGTTGTGAGGGTCCGTCGTCACCTTTGCCTTGTCGTATCTAGAGTCGAGAGAGTCTGGCACGCCACCAGGAGCGTCGTCCAAGTCCGGTTCAAAAGGCATGGTGTCGATGAGCTCCACGGCCTGGCCGAACAGCCCCGTCCGGCGCATGGGATCCGCCAGGCAGTCGTAGTGAGCCAGCGTCGGTCTCACGCCATGATAGTCTTGGATCATGTTGGCGAAGTCAGGTGGATGCCGCTTGATCACTTCCACCACCATCATCCCGTTCTCGCTGAGAGGAGAGTCCCCTGCCTTCTTAGCAAGTTTACGGCGTTTGAAAGCAGGATGATCACAGTAATGATCCACCGCCTCTGGTGCCTTCCTCTTGTTTCGAAGCAGCTCAAACCCCGAGTAGAATAGTCCTGTTTACAAGGAAAAGAGTTAGCAGATCACAGAATTCACGAAACAAACTTACTGTCAGGGAGAGTAAGTTCCCAGGGATTGAGAGGCGGATGATCACAGTAATGATCCACCACCGGCGGTGCCTTCCTCTTGTTTCCGAGCAGCTCAAACTCCGGGTAGAATAGCCCTGTTTACAAGGGAAAGAGTTAGCCGATCCCCCATACAAATCAAGAAACAAACTTACTGTTAGAGAGAGTAACTTTGAGGCGATCAAGAGGCGGGTGATCATAGTAATCCGGCGGTGCCTTCCTCTTGTTTCCAAGCAGCTCCACTCGATCATGGTAGAATAGCCCTGTTAGGAAAAGAGTTAGCCAATCCCTCAGAAATCACGAAAAAACTTACTGTTAGGGAAAGTATGTTTGCGGTAATCGAGAGGGCCGTGATCATGGTAATGATCCACCGCTGGAGGTGCCTTTCCAAGCAGCTTCACTGCGCCAAACTCCGGGTAGAATAGCCCTGTTTACAAGAAAAAGAATTAGCCAGAAATCACGAAACCAGACGAGATCATGGGAACCTTGACCCAGCTCGGGCTTCCAGGAGAGCTCCTGTAGCTCCACCACCTTTTCATCGTCACAGCGTCGGATTTGCTGCCGCTCGGGCGGTTTGATGCAAAGCTGTTCGAGGGAGGATTCGTGCTGCGCCAAGAGAGAGCATTAACAGAAAAGGAAAGGAAGGGGAAAACGAGAAAGGAAGAAGAGCCATACCTTTTCCTGTGCAGCTTCCATTTCCTGAGCCTGCAAGAACGAGGAAAGAAATCTTGAGAAGAAGACCCAAAAAAAACTTACCTGGATGAGAGAGTCCAAATCGTCCGGGAGCTCGTCCTTGACATTCCACTCGGTGCATACAAAATCGACAGCAAAAATTATCTCCACAATCTGTAACATCTCCAGCAACACCATAGAGAGAGAGCGAGAACAAGCAAATACCTAAAGAGAGATTATTTTGTAGTCTGGAAGTTTAGGGCTTTTGGCCGATCGGCCTCCAGCGAGGCAGGACAGTCTGGTAGTCACTGATGAATCGCTCGGAGCCCCGACGCTGGAGAAGTACAGGAGTTCCCTCGCGGGGCATAAGTGGAGCCACGGCGAGGCAGCCATGAACAACGACACCAAGTTCTTGGCAGGTGGGAAGAGATTTGAGCGTGTTCTCCCATCTTCGAGAAACGATGGCGATGCAACATCACGGTGTCGGGGTGGTCGGTGAGGAAATGCTGGTAGAGTGCTATGCACGTGGGAAGATCACGGCCGTCCAGAAAGCCATCCTCTTGGAATCCAGCGAGTTGGAGACGCCATACATGTCGACCACACCGTTTTGTAAATGTTTTAATAATCAAATTATAAAGATGTTTATAGTTTATAAACTTTCTAAAACACCTCCAAGTATATATTTAAATGTGTATAATTTATAACATTCTTAAATACATATTGCATGTTTCATATAAGTTGATTTGTGTTTTGGTATGTCATTGACTAAAATAAGATGGTGTTTATTGGGAGGCGCTTTTGGCGCCTTCTTAGTCAATTTCATATTTCAGTCTCATTTAATTAAAGTTTTATATAAACATCTCCTATTCTATTTTATCTTTAATAGGTTTTGGCTTGTTGGAGCAAACATGCCACTAAAGAAGAGTACCACATAGTTTCTTGTACTTTATAAATCCATTTACTTTGAGGATTTGACAACTAAGATGCTGATAAGATCTTAACTCACAAGGTATTATGCTTTTGTGTCAAATTTCTAGAGGACAACTTCATCAGTTATACAAATGTTCAATTTGGATGGGTGTTGGGATTTGGTTATTCTGAGGCAGAAAGGTACAAGAATAAATATTTAATAGGAAAAAGGAATGAAACAGAGGAAAAGTAATGAAAATTAGTGATAGTGGTACTAACAGTAAAAAATTTGATAGTGATTTCAACTTAGGTAGGTAAAAACAATTAAGAAGAAATATATAGAAAGGTTGATGTTTATATCTTAATTGAGGATGATCTTACTAGCGAGCAATTTTGGCTCATTTAGTGTTGCAAATTAACTTATAATTTGAAGAAGGTTTTAACAAATGTATGGTTGTAACATTTTTTGGAAGGTACATATGTTTCTAACCTAAGTAAGATTCATGGCGACAAAATATATAAATTACTTAATACTAAACCAGTTCACTATGTTTATTATCAAGTAACAAAAGTTTAAATGACTTCATCAGTTTCAAACCGTAGTATTTGAACCTAAGCAATCTCAACTATATGCAAATTTTAATTATTAAGATTGAGTAGAAGAGTAGTTTGTTTTTGTTGTTGTTTCATATGTAGTAGTGAGGAGATAAGTTGGCACAAATCTAAATACTAGAACTAAATACTTAATACTTTTAGTAAAAGAAAATAAACAATATACCTTATAAATCTCTACTTGAGTTTATCGTAGAGAAGTATCCATTCATTTTTATCTAGATTCTCATAATATAAATGTTTAGTAGAACTTCAATACTTCAAAAACTTCTTCACTTTAGTTAAGCACTACTACTACACAAATAGAGCTTACAAACAATGCTACCATGTTAAATTTTCTTATAAGTTTGAGTTTGTATTTGAGTGGATTTGCTATTGTAGACTCAACTATTATGTCTTTAGAAGTGCTAACCATTGTCATTTCCCCTTTTACACACCAAACCACTATATTAGATTTGTTATGAATCTGAAGTAATATTTAGTGTTATCTCTAGTTCATGCAATTAAAAATTGGTTTACCACTTTTTTAGCTTTGTGTGGCCACTTAAATTAAAACTAGTAAGTACTACTAACTTCTTGTTAGGACTAATTTCATTTTTTGACATTCTATTTTTACAACATTATCAAATTAAGCATACTATAAATTTGATATTAAACTAATAAATTTAACTTGATAGCAATATTAATTGTTTTTACAATATCCAGTAAGATAAGTATAAATAGTTTAAAATAAAATATAAGTTGGAAAATATATACCTTTATATTTACAGGTTTGAGGCTCTAAAGTACAACACTTCATAATTAGAACCATTTGGAAAAAAATAGATATATAAAAATGCATAAATTCTTGGGAATGTTTGTTTCATAAAGTTTTTTTGAATTTTCACCAATTCTTATGCTTACAAATCCATCAACTAATGAAATTGGTTCAGGAGTCAAACAAGTACACATTAATTAATATTAATAACTAAGTATTTAAAACTAGTTGGAAAAAATAGTATTTATCACACTAGTGACTAATTTTTAGTTACAAAAAGTAGTACTTTTTTAAAATCTTGATTTTCATAAAGTGGACTTTAAATGCTATTTTGAATATCTATAGTTGTAACAAATTGCATTTTCTGAAAAATCATAACAGATGATATTGTATTACTTGTATTTTTCACCTTATATCCTAAAATAAAAATAAAAAATTTAATTTAAATATAAATAATTTTATTTTAATAAACTTTATTTTCGTTATTTAAATGTTTAAATTAAAATTAATTTTTATTTGATATTAAAGATCAGATAAGGTTTTTTTAAAATAAATTAAATTGCAGAAAGCATTTATTTTCAGTATAAAATGCACATATCTTTTCTAGAATAGAAAGGAGTGTATCGGTTCGAATCCTGGAACATCAAACCCTAAAAAGAAGATGGCTTGCCGCTCCCGATTCTCCTCTAGCGGCACCAGCTCAATCTTTCTCCACGGGTAAGCAAGGACAAAGAGGGAGCCAAAAAGGGAAATGGCGCCACTGCGGTCTCTCCGTGCCCGAGGTAGAGCCTTCTTCTTCCTCCTCCTCGTCATCCGCGCTTCGTCCAGCAGCAGCCCTACTTCTTCTTCCTCCTCCCACTCACAAATGGAGGAGGCGGTTTGGCACGCTCTCAGCCTCTTGCTCTTGCTCCTTGGCTGCGCATGCGGCGCCCTGGCGATCAGATGGCACTCGCTGATTTGCTGCTCCTCCTCCTCCGCCAAGAAAATGCCCTGCTCCGCCAAATTCGTATCGCCGCTCAAGCCCAGCGACGCCGCCACCAAGGTGGCGGCGGGCATCACCGCCAAGGCCGAGTTGTCCATGATGGAGCAGCTTGTGCCCGAGATCACTCACCACGTCCTGAGCTACCTGGATTTCAAGAGCTTGTGCTGCATGTCCATGACCAATGTGGCCATGAGGAAGGCCGCGAACGACGAGAGCGCCTGGAAGTCCCTCTATCACAAGGTTTTCTCTTGTAAGCTTTGCTCTCGAGAGTTTTGATAGCGTTTCTCTGGTGTGGCCTTGGCAGGATTGGAATCCCGAGCAGCAAAACATCGTCCCCCCGCACGGCTGGAAGGCCTACTACGCCGTAACCAAGGCCGTCGCGGAAGCCAACCGGGCTTTCTACAACAAGTTCAAGGCAAAGTCTCTGCGAGGGATGGGGCAAATGTGGCTCCACGCGGATTACGTGAAGTGTATCCATCCTGGTGGTGAGCTTATATCAGGGTACAGTATCCCAGCGTTTCTCGAGAAGAAAAAAAACACAGAAAGGCCAAAGGAAAAAAAAAAAAAAAAAACCAGTTTTTCTTTCGTTTGGTTTCTCGTTTTCGCTAGTGTTTTTCTTGTTTTGTTTTTTACCTTTGGTTTTCACTCGTGCGTTTTGATGGTTCCAGGTTTGATGCGGTGATGGAGAACTGGCGCTTGGTGTTCAACTGCAGCCAAAGGTACGATTTCGAGCTCCAGGATGTCAAAGTCCGTGTGAGTGGTGACATGGCCTGGGTGACGAGCAAAGCTTTTGTAAATGCGTCTGTGGAGCCTCTCTTGTCTACAAATTGTTACGAGCGCCACGACCAGCAGTGGTATGTGGTGCATCACCATTGCTCCCCGCAGCTTGACTTTGCTTTCCCTGACTACGGTATGTTTAGCTAGCTGAGGTGGTGCTAAGTATTTTTCTCCCTCCCGTCGCAATGAAAGGTGTATATATTGTGAGATCCAGGCAGCCCAGAAAAAGAAGGAAAAAAAAAAACAAGCCTTTTTTTCCCTCTCGTGTTTTCAGTCTGTCATGCAAGTTGAGTTTATTTTTTCAATGCCATGCTTTGCGAGAGTTTAGTTTCACTCTCGTCATACGTCCTTGGTGAAACCAAAGCTACGATGGATGGTAAGGGAGCTCCTCCGTTTTCTTCTTACTTCCAGAAGCTGCGATTGAATTTATCAATTATTTTGATGAATGGTAAGTGTTTTCCAGGACTTATTTGAGATCCTCACCATGACGAGCTCCTTTTTGTGCCATAAGTTGCGATCTGAATCGATCAATAGCTTCAGTGGATGGTAAGCGTTTTCCAGGATTCATTTGAGATTATCACCTCCTCTTTCTTTTTACTTCCAGAAGCTGCGATTGAATCGATCAATAGCTTCAGTGAATGGTAGGTGTTTTCCAGGATTTATTGAGATCATCACCATGACGAGCTCCTCCTTTTTTTTCCTTCCAGAAGCTGCAATTGAATCGATCAATAGCTTTAGTGGATGGTAAGTGTTTTCCAGGATTTATTCGTGATCGTCACCATGACGAGCTCCTCTTTTATTACTTCCAGAAGCTGCGCGATAGATGCAATACAAGCCGATCCTCAAATCTGGGAGTGGCTTTGCGATTCCACCACCACCAGTGACGACGAGTCCTTACAAGACAGTTAAGGTACTTTTTTTTTCCTTTCTTTCTGTCATGGGACGAGGAGAGATCTAATGCGAGCCAGTTTTTATTATCCAGGCCAGTAAGCAGCGAATGCGTGAGTGCCAGATTTAACAGAGCTTTGGCATTGTTTTTACGAGGCCATGCTGCTCACGCTGATGGAATGGAAAATCCTAAAAACTCTTATTCCAGGTAAGTAGTTGCTCTGTGCAAAATGAAGGAGATGCTTACAAAAGAGTTTGGCTTTTGGCACATTTACTAGCCATAACCCCAGCTTTGGCAAATTTATTAGCAATAAAATGACAAGCCTTTGGAAGCTCACAAGCAAAATGCCAACTTTCCCAACCGGGCTACCCAACAACAGCGAGACATTTGCATATTTGCGGTAAGAAATTAAAACTGGTGACAAAGGGATGAGATCCTGCAACGCAGCCAGCCAGTGCTCAAATGATTCTCTTTGGTTTTTTTTCTTTATCTTTTTTCTTCAAGGAATTTCAATTTTTTTCTCTCCAAGTTTGTGCTTGTTTTGATCTTGTAAACTTGGAGGGACCAAGTGAGAGTTAACATGATCGATCCATTTGGATCACTGAAAAGTATGAGCCTAGAATGCTAACAACGATTAAAACACATCTTTGGAAAAGAATGCTGCTTGCTTGCTTGACTGCTGGCCGGACTGCATGGAGGAACTTTGGTGTCAGAAGATCGGACATGGATGATCCGCCGCCACAGCCCCCAGCGGCTTGCAATCGTGCTCGCATTGGAGCTGCGTCGCGCCGGGCATGCTGCTCCAGCACGGCGATAGATCCCAGCAGCTGGGGCCTCCAAACAACTGGCTCGTGGGATCGCCAAAGAATCCCAGCGCCGCCGCTGGATGATGCTCCAGGGGATCCATGGAGTCGGCATTGCAAAGGAACGGGAGGAGCGTCGCGGAGGAGGCGGCGACGCTGGCGGAGGTCGTGGCGGCGCTGGGGACGTCTGGCGGCGGCGGTGGCGGCTGGTCGGGCCAATCCAAGTTGAGCGGGAGCGAATCAGACCGCGCAAAATCCAGCAGTGTGGAGATCTCCTCGTCCGTATAGGTGACTGAGGCGGTGGCGGCGGCGGCGACAGTGGTGGCGGCGGCCCCCTCGGAGCCGACAGTTATGGTCGACAAGCCGTTCTCGTTCTTCGCGACTGCCAAGAACAGAGGAATAGAAACTTCGCGTAAAAACAAATCTAAAACAGAGAGAAGAAATGAGATGAGATTCACTCACGGATTGGAGGTTGCTCCACCGAGACCGATTGATCATCCCAGTGGTGCCGCTGCTGCTGCTGGAGGTGATTCCCGGTGATGGATTCCTCGCTGTAAACGCAGCACTGTGGCGGCGGCGGCGAGGCTGCCAGGATCTCGTCCCCCCATTTCTGGAACTGATCGTCCATTGGATCCGGTTCCTCGCGGCAGTTATCGTCCACGTCATCGATCCCGCCCTCGTCCGGCGGCGTGAAGATCATCAACTCGCGCTGCTGCCTGGCGGCCAGGAGCTTCGCGTGATCGTCAGCCGAATTGTCGGCCGCCGCCGCCATTCCGCGCTGCGCCACCGAGCAATGCTCGTCCTGGATGAGATGATCCTGGTGGTGCAGGAACATGAGTGGATCATTGCCGGCGGAGGCGGAGTTGCTGCCGCTGCCATCCATCATCCTGGCCTCCTGGAGCAGCGCCTCGAGGAGCATTGATCCGGCGGCACTGGCGGTGGTGGTGGCGGCGGTACCGCTTGCGGTGGTGTTGGATCCCAGGCTCGAGTACATGGGCGATGGATCCAAGGCGCCTCCAGTGGCACCGGACAACTGGTCGGCCAGGCAGCGCTGCTGGGGCGGCATTTGCTGGTGTTGGTGGTGGTGGCCGATAAACATCTTTGCCGGCGACGAGGCTTGGTCGAATCCTTTGTGGGGATACTCGCCGCCATAGCCGTGGTGGTAGAAGAGCTCCAGGCCGTGGTTCCCGGACTCGCGGAGCCGCTTGGAGGAGGCCCGGCGGAGGATGATCGGGCTGCCGCCACTCCCCACGCCGCCACCGCCGTGGTTGCTGCCGGCGCCCAGGTGATGGATGTACTGCTGGTGATCGAATTGCTGCTGCTGCTGCTGGAAATTGCCGATGCCGCCATGGAGATTCGCCAGGTTGACGTGCGCGCGAAGGTTGCTCACGGCGGCTGTCGGGCTAGCGGCGGCAGCGGCGTGATCGTCGGAGGGGTTGTCCCCCGCCGCCGCGGAGTGATCGGCGAAGATGCTGCTGGCGGCGTAGCCGGGAGCGTCCGGCGGGGGCGTGGATGCGGTCGCCACCACCATGCTGTGGACGTCCGAGGGATAGACGGGCAGCCCCGCGCGAAGTCGCCGCTTGATCCTCGTGTTCCAGTAGTTCTTGATCTCGTTGTCCGTGCGCCCGGGAAGCTGGAGGAAGAAACAGGGGATGCAGTGAGATGGATCGCGCAATGCGGGTAGCGATCGGGACGATCAGGCAAGCAGAATTGGAGGGGATTTTCAAGGCAGGATAGGAGAATTGGAGAAGAGGATGGAGGATCAAGCACAAGAGGAGAATTCCAGGGAAATTGAGATGGCAGGATGGAAGAATTGGAGGAGATCAACCAGAGGAGGACGATGGATCCATACCTGGGCGGCCATGCGAGCCCATTTGTTGCCGAGCTTGGCGTGGAGCTCGATGATGAGGCGCTCCTCGTCGGGGGTGAAGGCGCCCTTCTTGAGGTTGGGGCGGAGGTGATTGGCCCAGCGGAGGCGGCAGCTCTTGCCGCAGCGCGAGAGGCCCGAGTGCTTCTGGACGTTGTTCCAATTGCCCTCGCCGTGCTTGCTCACGTAGGCCACCAGGATCGCGTCCTCTGCCGACGTCCACGGTCCCTTCTTGAGCGCCGCCGCCGCCGCCGCCGCTGCTGCTGCCGCCGCCGCTGATGAGGATGACGATGAAACCGCTTCCATCCCGCGCGGAGGTCCAAGAAAGGTCCCCCTTCCAGCCCCACTTCCCCGGTGTACATACCCCCCGCGCGCGCGCTCCACGTGGCATCAGACGTGGACAACTCCACGTGGTCATCCACCTGGACGACCCATCATCCCTTGGGATATTCCGTGAGGGCGAATAATTTACTTTTTCGCCTGTTTGAAAATATGCTGTTTCCCTCCAAAACGTTAGGGCTTTATGGGTCGCGCAGTGAGGTAGGGCTATGGTTTTGTGATCGATCGAGCGATGGACTCTCTCCTCCTGGCCCAGGCATCCCGAGATTGTATGGGCTCAGCGCTCCGACAAGCTCTTCCTCACCGTGGAGCTGCCCGATGCCGTGGATCCCAGCGTCGAGCTCCAGCCGGATGGGAGATTTGTGTTCCGCGCCGCCGCCGCTGATTCCGCCCCCTACGAGGCGAGCCTGGAGCTGTATGGAAGCGTTAGTGTAGAGGTTTGCTCGTTTCTTCTTTTGTTTATGCCTCGATTGATTGATCTTTCTTGTGCGTGGCTTTGCTCATGAGTTTGATTTGATTTTCGTGGCTGGATTTGATATCCCAGGAGAGCAAAGTCAACGTTGGATCCAGACACACGCTTTGCATCATCCACAAGCAAGAACAGGGGTGGTGGAAGCGGCTGCTCAAGTCGGAGGGGAAAATGCCTCCTTACGTGAAGGTGGACTGGAACAAGTGGATTGATGAAGACGAAGAAGCTGACTCCAAGGGCCACGGTATTTGTTTATTCCTTCTCTTCTTCATTCGTGACTATAGAGCTGATTTCCTTTGACTTTTTCTCTTGTGTTTCCAATGGCTAGACACATTCAGTCTCGCCCGCAAGGGAGCTTCCTCTTCCTGGGTACGTAATTCTCTCGTTCGTGACTCCATTGCTATACTCAACGCTTTTCCTTTTGTCACAAACCAGGATCACCATTTCAACACCGAAGCTGATGGCGAGGATGAAGAGGGGATGCTTTGTAAGTCTCTAAGCTCTTGCTGTGCTGCTAATGAATGACTTATCTATCTTGTCCAGATCTTCCAGAACTAGAAAAGGAGGCCTAGCGACTTGTGACTACGTATATGAGTCGAGACTGTCCTCGTTTGCAGCTAAGTTCTTTCGTTTAAAAACTTGGAACTTCTCCAGGGTCTGGCCTTTTCGAGCATGACTGATGAAGAGGATGAGCAACAGGAGCGATTGCATCCAGCTGATGCAGTCTTGCAGCTCTCTGTCCGGTGCCAAGCAAATCCATGCCCTGCTTCAGACGATCGCCCCGTCGAGCGACACCATGCTGTGGAACATGTTGGTCCAGCTCTACGGCCGATGCGGCAGCGTCCACCTCGCCCGCCAAAGCTTCGACCACATTGCTTCCAAAGATTCCGTGTCGTGGAGCACCCTGGTATCGGCATATGCCCGAAACGGGCATCTCGAGGAGGCCAAGGAAACTTTCGACAAGATGCCAGAGAAGAATACGGTTGCGTGGACTGCCATGCTGGCGGCATTCGCCCAGCACGGCCACGTGGACAGCGCCCGGGCGTTGTTTGATTCCATGCCCGTCCAGGATCTGGTCACATGGAATGCCATGCTGGCGGCATATGCCCAAAACGGGTATCTGGAGAAAGCACTGGAGCTCTTTAGTGCCATGCCGTTGTGGAATCTAGTGTCGTGCAACACGATGCTGGCAGCATATTGGCAAAACGGGCATCTAGACCTGGCAAAGAATCTGTTTGAGGAGATGTTGCACCACAACCTGGTGTCGTGGAACACGATGCTAGCGGCGTATTCACAGAATGGGCATTTGGAAGATGGTAAGCATCTCTTTGATGCAATGCCGCTGCTGGACCTTGTTTCATGGAACACAGTGCTCTCGGCTTATTTCCAGAATGGCTATTCAGAAGAAGGATTGGCGATATTTGATTTGATGCCCGAGTGGAACATCATCTCTGAGAATGCCGTGCTCGCTTCACACGCACAGAGTGGCGATTTGGACGCAGCAAAGCGAGTGTTTGATTCGATGCGCCAGAGGAATCTTGTCTCATGGAACTCGATGCTCTCGGCTTATGCTAACAGGAGCAAAGTTGACGAAGCTAAGAAAACTTTCGATTCAATGCCACAGAGGAATCTTGTGTCTTGGAACGCGATACTTTCTGCTAATGCCCAAAACGGGCGTTTGCAGGATGCCAAAGATTTGTATGTAGAGACTCCCCTCGTGAATTCAGTATCTCGCAATGCAATTCTTTCTGTACATACGCAATGTGGGGATTTAGAGCAGGCCAGATACCTGTACGAAAGCACGCCGTACCAGGACATGGTATCGTCCATCGTTATGGTTGCAGCATATGCCGCTAGTGGGTATTTGGAAGAATCCAAGCGCTTGTTTGAATCTATGCCGGTACAAAACCTGGTGTCAACTACCGCGCTGTTGACCGCATATTCCCAGAACGGGCATCTTGACGTGGCCGAGCAGCTCTTCTACGATATGCCACACAGGAACCTTGTGACGTGGAATTCCATGCTCTCGGCATATTCCCAGAACGGGCATTTTAAGCAAGCAGCGAAGTTCTTTGATGCACTGCCAGAGAGGGATGTGGTGTCGTGGAGTGCAATCCTGGCCGCCCACTCCCACAACCGGCAGTCATCCCAGGCGTTGGATGCGTTTGGTGTGATGAAGACCGAGGAATATCCCGACCCTTCATGCTTTGTATCGGTACTTGTTGCTTGTAGCCATGGCGGCAAAGCTTCTCTAGGGAGGAATCTATTCTCCTCGATGATTGTAGACTATGCCCTAACTCCCTCAAGGCAGCATTTTTGCTGCATGGTAGATCTCTTGAGCAGATCCGGGCATCTGGAAGATGCCGAGATCCTCATCACGGAGATGCCCTGCGCTCCCACTGGCCCCGAGTGGAGATGCCTTCTCTCGGCATCTCGCGGCTCCAACGGCGGGGATGACCCAGGGAGTGTGGCGTCGCGCGTCATGAGCTTGGACGGGGAAGATTCCGCGGCATATGTCCTGCTTGCCAGCACATACTCCAACAAGCAAAAGAAGGAAATGGCCGCCGCCGAGATTCGAGCCCGGGACCTCTGCCAAAGCGACGAACGTTTTCTTCCTTGTCCGGCATTAAAAGTGACACCGCCTCCTTCGAAAGAATAAGAGCGCCACTTTGTGTTCGTCCCATTCTTTCTTCGTCTTGCTGGCTCTGGCGCGCTAGGGTTTGTCCGATTCCATCGCGAGCGGCGAATTCTGTCCGTCACAGGTAGGCTGCATTGGCCGGCGCGACGATGAAATCCGGAAATGCGGCACCAGAATCGCTCCGGCAGCGCGCCGCGCGAGCGATCGGCAACGCCTTGTTCGGCCTCTTCGTCGCCGTGGTGCTGCTGCTCACCGTCTTCGCCGTCACGTACCAGCCGCCGGATCCGTGGCTCGACACCGCCGCCAGCGCCGTCCGGATGAAGCAGCTCTTCAACAAGGTCGTGGACAACGCCACGTTCCAGACGGCGGGATCGATCTTCCTGACTGGCGAGGACGCCCTTGCACCGGCGAATTCCAGAGCCGGGGGCTCGATCTCCATCGAGGACGCCCAGGACGCGGCGGAAAAGGCCCTGGAGGTTACCAGGGGGCTCAATAATGGCGGCAAGGATCGTGGGTGCGTGGAAAGCGACATTGTTGTGAATTGCTCGGATCCGGGGGTGCTAGCCGCGATCGAGAAGGTCAACTTGGAGAAGTTCCCGGAGATCGACGCTTTCGAGTACAGAGTCCCCGTCCAGGGAGGGGATGAGAGGAGCTGCGATGTGGCTTGGAAGTACCGGCCGAGGAGGGAGAGATCCAAGAGGATGTACAGGGACTACCGGCGCTACACTCTAGTGCTGGAGCCCTCTTGCGAGTATCAAGTGACCGACGTGGGGGACTGGCACTCTGGGAGGAATGCGCGGCTCCAGAGGTTTCACGGGATCAATGCCTTCAACGATTCCATCTCGTCTCGTGGCGATGATGATTCTTCGAGCGTCGGAAGGTTCTTGTACTACACTCGAGGAGGGGATCATTGCAAGGGGATGAAGCAATTCATGTGGAGCTTTCTCTGCGCGCTCGGAGAAGCTCAGTACTTGAACCGGACGCTGGTTGTCGATCTGGACTTTTGTCTCTCGGGGAAGGATAACTTTCCTGGCCGAGGTGACGAGCCCGGGAAAGACTTGAGGTTCTACATTGATTTCGATCACCTCCGGGAGTCGACCTCGGTGATCGAGCTCAAGGAATTCTCCAAGTTGAACAAGAAGCACAAGCTCGGCAAGATTCGCAAGAGGGTGATCTCGGACAATGTGAAAGTGAGTCCGATGGAGCTCAGGGACGAGACGAGCACGATCGTCGAGAGGAGCTTCCGGGAGAGCAGCGAGCCGGACAACTATTGGTATCGCGTTTGCGAGGGGGAGACCGAGAAGGTGATCCAGCGGCCCTGGCATATGATCTGGAAATCCAAGAGACTCATGAATATCGTCAACACGATTTGCGGCAAGCTGGAGTGGGACTTCGATGCCGTACGAGTGGAGAGAGGTGAGAAGGCTGCGAACAAGCAACTTTGGCCCAATCTCGACAAGGATACCTCGGCCGAGGCGGTGTTGAGCAAGCTCTCGGAAAGGATTGATGCTCAACGCTACGTTTACATATCGACCAACGAGAGAAGTCCCGGTTTCTTCCACAAGCTGAAGGAGAAGTATGAAGTGTCGGTGCTGGACGACTACAAGGATCTCTGGGGGCCTGGCAGCGAGTGGTATAACGAGACCATGGCCTTGACGAAGGGAAAGCCGGTGGAGTTCGACGGCTACATGAGAGACGCCGTGGACTCGGAGATGTTTCTCAGAGGGAAGAAGCGCATCGAAACTTTCGGCGATCTTACCAGCGACTGCAAGGACGGGATCAACACATGCTAAGCTGCTGCTGCTGGTTTGATGGATTCCATCTTCGTTTATTCCTTTCCCTCTTAGAATAATCCTTCAAATTCATTGCTGCTTGCAGTAGCAGCGGTGGAAAGGAAAGAAAAGAAAGAAAATCAAAGTCGCCGGCCAGTATAGTACTTGCTCATTCTTCCCGGAGAGAGACAGAGGTGGGCTCTCAGGTTATTTGCATTGAAAAAACTCGTAATTTTCCAGCCAGGCCACCACGGCAGTAGCAACAGCAACAGCAACAACAACCACCGCCGCATTGAATCCGTGAAAAGAAAGAAGGGCCCGGAAATGAAGAGCCCGAGTGACTGCCCGCTCAAGGAAGGTGAGGTAAAAGGTGAGGTGAGTGAGGTCCACTGCTGCTTGTCTGCAAGCTCATTAAAAAAGCCTGGAGTTCTTCGCATTTTTGTGGTAGTATGTTTGATGTGATTGGCGTGTTGTCGGTGAATAAGTGCGTCCCGTTCCAGTCCAGAGATGGAGAGATCCATTGTTTCGTTTCACGTGTTGGTTTGTCGCTGAATTCGATTCCTTTGCTTCCGTGCCTGTCACCCTCACGGGATTGTACTCTTCGCAGAGTTTAGAGTTAGATCTCGTCGTCCCATAGCTCTTGGACCGTCTTGTACGGGCTGGTGGTGGAGTTGCAAAGCCACTCCCATGCTGCTAGTCTCCTTTGCGGCACGGTCGACTCGATCGTCTCGAGGTCCTCGGGAAGCAAGTCGAAGTCGAAGCTTTGAATGTTCTCACGCAGTCGCTGTGGATTGTAGCTCTTGACGACGGCGCCGACGCCGATCTGCGTGAGCCACCGAAGCACGATCTGTGCAGCAAAAGATAGCCGAGAGTCCTGGACGCGTTGAAAGCTTGTAGTACCTGGGCAGGAGATTTGTGGTGCTTTGCTGCGAGTTCCAGGACGACGGGATCCTCGAGCACGGATTTGGATCCCCAGACTTTGCCGAGGCCCCCGAGAGGTGACCATGCAAAGACCTGGACGTCATGAGCTCTACAGAAGTCTCTAAGTTTCTTTTGCTGCCAAATGGGATGGAGCTCCACCTTGCGAGAAAAGATTTCTTGGTTAGTTTTCCTTGAGATCCATGGACTTTTCCTTTTGTTACCTGGTTTGCGGCCGGAGGGATTCGAGCGTATTCGAGCAAGTCTCCCAGTTTCTTGGAGCTAAAGTTGCTAACACCGATGGCTTTCGCGAGTCCTTCGTCGAAACGATCCTCCATTGCCTTCCAGGTGCCTGGAATGTCCAGAGGAAGAATTTCGTGTTCCTTGGGTGGAAAACGAGCTCCTTTTGTGAGCTTGATAGGCGCGTGCATCAAAAACAAGTCCACGAAATCCACCCGTAGAGCACTGGAGAAAGAGAAGATTTAGTCCGCAATCTACCAGGAAAAGATGAAAGATTGTCCTAGCCTGAGGCTCTTCTTCAATGCCGGAAGAACATCCTGCGGGGCATGGTCGTCGGATCTCAGCTTCGTCGTCAGAAAAACCTCCTCCCTCGTCACCAATCCGGCATCGAAAGCTATCGCGAGCGCCTCGCCGATCGCTGTCTCGGTGCCATAGGCGGTAGCAGTGTCAAAGTGTCGATAGCCAAGCTGTTCGAGGTCCCAAAATTTGTGGGAACAAACGGCGAACAAAGAAGTCGAGCAAACCTTGATTGCGCTTAGAACTGCCCCCTTGATTTCTTCTGCGCTGGTGAAAGTCCCACTTCCAAATCCGACAGCGGGAGCGCGCGCCCCGGTCCTCAGCTGGAAAAATGGAGCCTCCATTTTGGCCAAGAGCCCTAGAATGCCAGTGATTTAAGCGATGCCGTCGATTCGAGGCAATATGAGCCGTCCGATCCGGTCAGCAATGGCATGGCGCATTCTTGTCCCCCGTGGCAGATTTGACAATGGCGACGATACCAACGACAAGAGTGGTGCTAGGATGATCGGACGTATAGAAGTACTTTGGTGAAATCGCAAAAGGGCTAGAATTTCAGCAAAAATATCTTTTGGACGAAGGAGCTCGCTGTTTTCATCCGAGGAAGCTGTGAAGTCGCCGTGGTGGCGGCTGAGAGAAATCGAAGAGTGCCAAGAGAAGCTTCCTGACGTCCTGGTATGTGTTTGATGTCCAACTTAGCTGCTTTAAGCTGGCTGGGATCAAGCACTTGGCCGAAGTAACACGATACTGCACCCGTGTGTTGCGTAGCCCTTTTCAGCGAACCCAAGGAAGGAGGGGCGGTTTGCTCTGGTGATGAATGAATCTTTTGACAATGATGGAATTCAAGAGACGCAACCCAGACATAGTTATAATCTAATCTGTTAGAGTTCCACACAAGGGATTTTTAAGGGGCTACTCTGTGCGCTCTTCACGGTGAGTTCCCTCTATGTCTTCCTGTTTGGCGAGCTGGCTAGTCAGAATGGTCTCGATGACATAAACTTCAGCGTAGACACGAAAGGCTAGCTGGTCATATGGCACAGCAAGCACACACAGGTCACAGGTCTAAGCAGGAGGACAGAGTGCTGGTTGTTTCGTCAACTTTGGTGTTTCTGGAGTGTTCGACAGGGGCCACTGACTCAAGGCCAGAGGCTCGGCGAGGCTTTGCAATCGAGGACATGGAAGGCATGTTTATGGAGAAGGCTAAGCCATGGCCACTTAGTCTTGAGCTCGTCATAGTGGTCACCATGTCCACCATCTTTGCAATGCCCAGCGCTTTCTCCCGTGGAGGCCTGAGGCCTCCTAAAATGTAGGATGCCCTACCCCTAAAAAGGCTTTCCATTGTGCCGCTCACGCCGTAGCTCGATATTCTTCACGCTGCGCAGTCGGTAGGCGTAGGAGGACTGCCGCTGCTCCGGCTGCTCCGCGAGGAAAGAAGAAGACGGCGCCGATGGAGGCAGTGATGGCGGAGCCGCCCGAGGATATGAGTGGACACGTGCTGTGCTTGGCGGAGCTAGGAAGAGTGCAAGAGCGAGTTGTGGTCATTTTCCATGCAGCTCTTCCAAACGCGCGAGATGTGCACCTCTACTCTGTACATCTCGAACTTCTCAAGCTACGCCGATCTCGACTCATGGGTCACATTCGAGCATCTCTGGAGCTGTCAACGTGCGGTACACCACAAGCTCTGGAGCACGCATTCACAAAGTAAGAATATGTGCATGGTACTTTTTTAAAAATATCGGTGGCTCGTTTGAAGGATGAATGACGAGCTGCGGGATGTGGTGGGAACATCAGATTGCTGGGTATGTGGTGATCTCTCTTCTTGTCTGATGGATTACTGCTGTTGCTGTGGTTAGAATTGGTGTGCGCAAAACAGGTCCTTGGTGGTGGTGCTTGGAGACGCACATGTGTATGTGTTTGGCGAGGCCCTTGCGTCAGTGATGCTGTGCCGAAGTGGGAAGGACGAGAGGCTAACTCGTCCAAGTTCTCTCCACCGTCTCAAAAATGCTAGCCCCCCGCAAAGTAGCAGCCTACCTTTTTATTACCACAAGGTACTAATGTTTATGTTGAAATTTGTAATCTGGAAGCTTGTGCACGCAGGAGCGGCTGACTACAGCAGACTCTTACCTTATCGTTACGTCAAGACACCTAGAGCGTCACATGGATAGCGATTATACAAGCGTTTTCACCACTCGGATTGACGCACTTGTGAGTATTGTATACTTCTGATCCGCAAACGAGCTTGTAATGGACAGGGCCTCGAGGAAGCGTGCCGCCAGATTGCCGGTACAGGGACTGATGAATGCAGGACATTCGCAGTAGTTGCTGTTGGAGAGCTGCTTCGACAGAAAGTGGCCAATGGAGTGACTCAAGAGGTGAGTGGACAGCTACACAGCGCTGCAGAGGACAAAGAGGAAGGCCCAATCGAAATATTTCCCGATCCTGCGGAGGAATCTGTGTCTGAAGACGAAAATGAGTACGAAAATGAGTTTGAAGATGAGTTTGAAGAGTTTCAAGACGAAGACGAGTTATATGGTGTTATACCCCATGGTTTGCGCCCCCTAGGTATGTACAGTACATCCATAAACTAATTGTAGCTATATAACCATATTACTGTTTTCAGATAATGGGAACCCCCAATTACCCGAACCCGTCACCTCTTGCGAACCCCGACCTCGCAGGGACCCCTGCATAAGGGTGATGGACCTCAAGGTAATAATGCTTCAAATTTATCACTCTTGTTTTTTCGATTGTCCGAATTTGTGGTTTGAGGTTTAGTGGCTTTTGATCAGGAAGAGGACCTCAAGCTTGTTTGTAAAGTCGGCTCTTGCAAGTTTGTGATTAAAAGCGGGGACATAAGTGAGTGGTTTGTGGACGGAAAGAATGATGCTATTGTAATTCCTGTGGAAGGTCAAATACACAGAGGTAAAGCAAAGGGGTATTTGGCATTTGACATGAGCTTTTGTCTTTTCAGAAATATGTTATGCTACTGGTTCCTTTACTGGCTTGGATATCATGTAATTGTCTTTCCTTATTTTGTTTTTATTATCTTTTAACTAACTTGTTTCTCAGCCCTTCAGCAGGACTGCCAGCATCTAAAATCATTATTACTCAAGGCCTAAAATACTCCAAAGTCAGGGAGACGGAAGCTGTGGAGCATCTTGGTCGCACTTACAGGTATGCCGGAGTGAGTAGCAAATTTAATACATTGTGCTTTTGCTATCACAGGGACGCTATATCATTTGCTTGCGGGGAGGGCGTTAAGCACATAGCGCTCCCAGCTATCTCCTGCGGACATGGCGGGTTTGTACTCACACCTTCCTTCTTGGATACTGAGTTCGCATTGTATTTCAGGTTTCCTCTGGATAAAGCGGCATGGATTGCTGTAGAAAGCGTACAAAAGGCACTCAAAAGTGCTAAAGTGTCCATTGAGGTAAGCTGCCCTGAATTAGATATGCGTTTCTTAACTCTGTGTTCTAAATTCTAGGTTCACTTTGTCATAAAGGACGAACCCACCTGGAGGGCATGGGTAGCTGCAACAGACCTCCTTGCATTTAAGGATTATGATGGCTACGTATCTTGTTGGAGCACTAGACCTCCCTTTTCATTCACCTCCTAAGGGATTCCACCTTTTCTTATTGAAGATCCTGAAAAAAAGTTCTAAAAAGTGGATAAAGAAAGTGTTTAAAAGAAGATATATCTAAACAAACCGATGCTTATGTTCATAGAAAATTAATTCTCTCCAGGAAATTCACTAATTCACAACTCGGGCAGTAGCAGCCAACCGGTCTTCACCTTCAAAGACGAGTTCCAGAGCCTGTTCATCCAGTCCAACTCGTGTGACTACTTCGAGGTGGTACACAGGTTTTCAATTTTGAGAGAATTTCTTTTCCCTGGAAGCTTTCCAACACCGACCGCTTCACCTGATTTTGGCCTATGGCATACAGCGGTGGAGCACCGCTTAAGATCAGCCTACCACCTGGATGGCATCCAAAGACACGAAGACAGTAGTGTTGATCCATCCAACCGGATGCGTGCAAATTCGACTCCTACCTGCACAAAAATTCTGGATTCTCCTCCCACGACTCCGACTCTGGAGCAAACTTAGATCACATTGGTTTCAAACTTAGTTGCCTCAAGGCTCATTGAATACCAAAATGAATAAGCATATAATTTAACCTATTAGAATCTGTTATTAATCTAGGGATCATGAAGCCGCTACTCTGTGCTCTCTTCATGGTGAGTTCCCTATACTTGTGCTATGTCTTCCTATTTGGCGAGCTGGCTAGTCAGAATGGTCTCAAGGACATAAATTTTAGTGTAGACGGGAAAAACAGCTGGTCATATGGCACAGCAGGGAGTACTGGTCACAGGTCTAAGCAGGAGGACAGAGTGCTGGTTGTTTCAAGCCATGCCGACTTTGGTGTTTTTGGGGTGTTTGACGGCCACGGCAGTTCAGGGGCCAGTGACTTTGCAGCTAACACATTCTACCCCGTGTTCTCCAGACGCATCGCAGAAGGCCAGAGACTTGGCGAGGCTTTACAAATGGCAATCGAGGACGTGGAGAACATGTTCATGGAGAAGGCTCACAAGCAAGCATGGTACTCCGGCTCCACAGCATGCATTGCAGTGGTCACTCCACAAGTGGCGATAGTGGGAAGCGTGGGCGACTCGAGAGCTCTGGTTTGTGTGGCACGGAAAAACTCAACAACGAATTTGATAGAAATGGACAGCACTCAGCTCAGCAAAGATCACCACCCGGAGTTGGCAGAGGAGAGGCGTCGGATCGAGGCTGCCGGAGGCTTTGTCGAGTTTGGAGGAGTGAATGGAGAGCTAGCAGTGTCTCGGGTGATTGGAGACATGGAATTCAAAGCTTTTGGCGTGAGTGCACAAGCAAATGTTGTGGAGTACAGGATTGAGAACAGTAATGAAGAGTTTCTGGTGCTTGCTTCGGACGGGATCTTCCAGAGGATGTCGAACCAGGACGTGTGTAACACAGTCATCATTGCTAGAGGATCTAGAGCACTGGATCATGAATCGAGGAGTGGACTTTCTCAGGTGGCTGCTGTGATGATCGTGGAGGACGCACTTGAAAGTGGGAGCAGTGACAATCTCTCGGTCATTGTTGTTCCTCTTGTGGGAGAGAGATAACAACAATAAACTTTCATTGACGTTTCATTAAAGTTTAGTCCAAATATAGTAAAGATTGACATTCTTGATTCTCAAATGGGTTTTGGCCAAGAACCCTAAATTACCGCGGATTTAAACAGTACCGTCGATTCTAGACAATATGGGCCGTTCGATCCGGCCGCTCTCGTTTTATGCGTTTGCTCCTCTCTTCCCTGCGTGACTCCCTAACCGATCTCTTGCGCCCCAATGCGATCCCCACCTCCGCCGCCTACGCCGCCGCGCTCCGCCAATGCGCCGATCTGGGCGCGCTCCAAGAGGGCCGCCGGATCCACGCCCACATCGCCAGCCACGGCCTCGACCGCGACACGTTCCTGGGCAACACCCTCGTCCAGATGTACGGCGCCTGCTCCTCCGCCCGGGACGCCCTCCAGGCGCTGGAGAGAATCCGCGAGAGGAACGTCTACTCGTGGACCATCATGGTCAAGGCTTATGCCCAGTCGGGGCATCTGGAGGACGCGCGGCGTACCTTCGACCAGATGCCTGCATGGAACGCGGTTACGTGGAACACGCTGCTGGCGGGGCTCCTTCACCACCGCCGGATCGACCTCGCCAACTTTGCCTTCGAGAAAATGCCCGAACGCGACATGTTTGCGTGGAACTTGATGCTCGCAGCATATGCCCAAAACGGGCACATGCTGAAAGCCAGAGCGATGTTTGATTCTATTCCCAGTCCGGGGATCATCTCTTGGAACATCATGATCCAGGTGTACGGAAAGGAGGGGTTGACAGAACAAGCACTGAAAATCTTCCACTCCATGCTTCACAGAGATACCTACTCGTGGAACTCGCTCGTCGCGGCATTTGCCCAAAAGGGGGACCTGGAGCGCGCGAGGGTGGTGTTCGATCGGATGCCCGAGCAGAGCGTCGTGACGTGGACGGTCATGGTGTCCGGCTACGCGCAGCACGGCTGCCTGGACGAGGCGGCGGCGCTCTTCGAATCCATGCCCAACAAGGACGCCCCGACGTCCTCCTGGGCGTGGAACGCGCTCATCGCCGGATTCGGCGAGCTGGGCGACCTCCAATCCGCGCGCCGCCTCTTCGAAGCCATGCCCGTCCGCGACATCGCCTCCTGGAACTCGATCATCACGGGCTACGCCGAGAACGGCTGCCTGGACGACGCCAAGAGCCTGTTTGACGCCGCCGAGGAGCAAAACATCGTGTCGTGGAACTCGATGATCCGGGCCTACTCGCGCAACGCCGAGGTCGAGCGGGCGCGCGGGGTCTTCGATCGGATGCCCGGCCGCGACACGGTCTCCTGGAACGTCATGATCGCGGCGTACCTCCAGCACGGGAGCTTGGATCCCGCGAAGGATCTCTTTGATCTTTCCCCGCAGAGAGACACGGTGACCGAGACCGCGATGGTGTATGGATATGCCCAGGCCGGGCATCTGGCTGTATCAAGCGCCATCTTCGAGTCCATGAAGGAGAAGGATTCGGTCGCGTGGAATGTGATGATCGTGGCGTATGCGCAGAATGGTTTTCTAGCGGAGGCAGCGGAGGTTTTCGACCGAGCGCCGCGGCGAGACGTTGCGTGCTGGAACTCGATGATCACCGCAAATGCCAAGAATGGGGATCTGGAGCGCGCCATTGCGATGTTTGAGAGGATCCCCAGCCGCGACTGCGCGTCGTGGGCGGTGATGATCTCCGGGCTGGGGCAGTCGGGCCTCTCCCGCGACGCGCGGCGCGTCTTCTCGTCGCTGGATCTCGAGGGCTGGCGGCCGGACGAGGCCGTGATGGCGGGGATGATCGAGTCGTGCTGCGACGCCGCTGGGATCGCAAGCGCCCGCGAGTGCGCGGCGGAGCTGGGGCTGGAGTCCCGGCCCGCCATCGCGATCGCGCTCGTCAACGCCTACGCCAAGAGCGGCTTCCTGGAGACGGCGGCGGCGGTGTTCTTCCACGGCATCACCGCGGCTCGCGACGTGGTGGCGTGGACGACCATGATCACCGCCACCGCCCAGGCGGGCCACGGCGGCGCCGCTCGCGAGCTCTTCCAGTCCATGCAGCTCCACGGGATCAAGCCCAACAGCGTTACCTATCTCAACATCCTGTGCGCTTGCAGCTACGCGGGGCTCGTGATCGATGCCTGCTGCTACTTGCGATCCTCCATCGGGGACTACTGGATCGCGCCCAAGATGGATCACTTCGTGTGCCTGGTAGACATTCTAGGGCGCGCGGGGATGATCGCCGAGGCGGAGGAGGCGCTGCGCGGCATGCCCTACGAGGCCGACTCCATCGCCTGGTTGACGATGCTGGCGGCGTGCAAGAACCACGGCGAATCGCGGCGGGGGACGGCAGCCGCGGCGGCGATCCACGAGCTGGAGCCCGGCGCCGCGGCGCTCTATCTCCTTTCAAGCAATATGAGCGTGGAGGAAGCCCACGAGATTTAGGGTTAGGGCTCTTGGCCATGGCCGGGGAGGAAAGGGCGCTCAAGACGTGGGTGAGCGACGAGCTCCAGGAGATCCAGGGCTTCTCCGAGGCGGCCGTGGTGTCGTTCGTCATCGGGCTTGCGAAATCGGCGACGAGCTCCGCGGTGCTCGCGTCGCGGCTCAAGGAGAACTCGTTCCCGCCTGGCCAGGTAACGGACAGGCTCGCCCGCGAGCTCTTCGCAAGGGTTCCTCGCAAGAAATCGGGGCTCAGCGGCTACCAGCAGGCGGAGATCGAGGCGGCGAGGTATGCCCGCAAGCAGGAGGAGTACAAGCTCGTGGCTGGGGACGACGAGGGGAATGTAGCGCCATCGCCATCGCCAGCGGCGAAGAAACAATCCAAGCATGGCAATCTTCGAAAGCGCGGGAAGGAGGAGGAGAACGAGGACGAGGACGTGGGGATTCTGTCCAAGCGGGGGCGGCGGACGCTCGAGGAGGAGGAGGAGGTGGAGAGGGAGCGGGCCAGGGAGAAGGATCAGCGGGAGAAGGAGGAGCTGGAGGCCAGGCTGAAGGAGAGGGACGAGGCTAGCACCAGAAAGGTGATGGAGCACAAGATTTCTCGCGAGCAAGAGGAGGAGAACAAGCGGCGCTTGCAAGCACAGGAGAGTGACGAGGGGCTGAAGGTGGCGAGGGAGATCTCTCGCCAGTCCTACCTCAAGAAGAGGCAAGAGAAGAAGCTAGAGGAGCTCAAGGACACGCTCATCGACGAGGAGTTGCTGTTCGCGGAGGTGAAGCTGACGGCGAGGGAGAAGAAGGAGAAGGCGTACAAGCAGGAGGTGTTTGATCTGGCCATGAAGATGACCAAGGACACGAACGACATCGTCGGATACCAGATTCCAGAGGCCTACGACGATGAAATCTCCAGGGTCAAGCAGGAGAGGCGCTTCGCGGTGGCCCTGGAGCGCTACAAGGACCCGGATCCTGAGGACAGGGCTATACCCTTTGCCGAGCAGGACGCTTGGGAGGACTACCAGAGCGGGAAAGCCAAGATGAAATTCGGTGCCGCGGACAAGAAGAAGGCTGACGAGTACGAGTTTGTGTTCGAAGACCAAGTCCAGTTCGTCCAAGCCGATATCATGTCCGGCGAGAACGAGCCCATGGATGAAAAGGAGAGCAGGAAAGCTGCGGCGCAAACGGAGCACGAGCACATTCTTGAGGAGAGAAAGAAGCTGCCAATCTATCCATACCGGCAGGAGCTACTGGATGCCATAGAGCAGTACCAGGTTCTTGTGATAGTGGGAGAGACGGGGTCGGGGAAGACGACGCAGATACCACAGTATCTTCACGAAGCCGGCTACACTGAGCGTGGAAAGATCGGGTGCACTCAGCCCCGGAGGGTGGCGGCGATGAGTGTGGCGGCTCGAGTGGCCCAAGAGATGAATGTGAAGCTCGGGCATGAGGTGGGCTATTCGATTCGGTTTGAAGATTGCACCTCGGAAAAGACTAAGCTCAAGTACATGACAGACGGTATGCTACTGCGTGAGTTTCTGGGCGAGCCGGATCTCAAGAGCTACAGCGTGATGATCGTCGACGAGGCTCATGAGCGGACCGTCTCGACGGACGTCCTCTTTGGGCTGATGAAGGACATCACTCGCTTCCGGCAAGATCTCAAGGTGCTGATCTCCAGTGCGACCTTGGACGCCGAGAAGTTCTCCAAGTACTTTGATGACGCCCCGATCTTTACCATTCCGGGAAGGCGATATCCAGTGGACATGATGTTCACCAAGGCTCCGGAGGCCGACTACTTGGACGCTGCTGTTGTGACGGTGCTGCAGATCCACATCACGCAGCCCCCCGGCGGAGACATCCTCGTGTTCCTGACGGGTCAGGAGGAGATCGAGGCAGCGGAGGAGATTTTAAAGCAGAGAACGAGGGGCTTGGGGTCCAGGATAGCGGAGCTGATAATCTGTCCCATCTACGCCAACCTTCCATCCGACTTGCAAGCAAAGATCTTCGAGCCGACCCCCCCTGGAGCACGAAAGGTGGTGCTCGCGACAAACATTGCCGAGACGTCCTTGACGATTGACGGGATCAAGTACGTGGTCGACCCCGGCTTTTGCAAGCAGAAGAGCTTCAACCCGAGGACCGGGATGGAGTCGCTGATCGTGGCTCCAATCTCCAAGGCGGCGGCGATGCAGAGAGCCGGACGAGCAGGGCGGACGTCCCCCGGCAAGTGCTTCCGCCTCTACACGCAGTGGTCGTTCAACAACGAGATGGAGGACAACACGGTACCGGAGATCCAGCGGACCAACTTGGGCAACATCGTGCTCATGCTCAAGAGCCTGGGCATCAACGACCTCATGAACTTCGACTTCATGGATCCTCCCCCTGCGGAGACGCTGATGAGGGCCCTGGAGCAGCTGTACGCGCTGGGCTCGCTCAACGATCGCGGCGAGCTGACGAAGCTGGGGAGGAGGATGGCCGAGTTCCCGCTGGACCCAATGCTGTCCAAGATGATCGTGGCGTCGGACAAGTTCAAGTGCTCCGAGGAGATCATCTCCATCGCCGCGATGCTCTCGGTTGGCAACGCCATCTTCTACCGGCCAAAGGACAAGCAGGTCCACGCCGACACGGCCCGCATGAACTTCCACTCCGGAAATGTTGGCGACCACATCGCGCTCATGCGCGTCTACGACTCGTGGAAGGAGACCAACTACAGCTCCAACTGGTGCTACGAGAACTACATCCAGGTGCGCAGCATGAAGCGGGCTCGCGACATCCGGGACCAGCTCCAGTCGCTGCTGGAGCGGGTGGAGATCGAGCTGACAAGCAACGCAAACGACCTGGAGGCGATCAAGAAGACGGTGACGGCAGGCTTCTTCTACCACACGGCGCAGATCCAGAAGAACGGCTCGTACAAGACGGTGAAGAACCCGCAGGTGGTGCACATCCATCCCAGCTCGGGACTCTCGCAGGTGCTGCCGCGGTGGGTGGTGTACAACGAGCTGGTGCTCACCACCAAGGAGTACATGAGGAATGTGATCGAAGTGAAGAAGGACTGGCTCGTGGAGATCGCGCCGCACTACTACAAGAAGCAGGACGTGGAAGATGTTGGCGCTGGGAAAATGCCGCGGGGGAAAGGGAGGGCCGCGTCCACGGCCTAGCTTGCGCTTGCTCGATCCAAGCAAGAGCTCTATTGTGGAGAATGCTTTACTTGATCCAAGCAAGAGCTCTTCTGTGGAGAAGAAGAGGTTGCTTTGCTTGATCCAAGCAAGAGCGCTACTGTGGAGAAAGAGCTTGCTGTGCTTGATCCAAGCAAGAGCTGAGTTTGGTAACTTTGAGATGTGAGATGTATCATACAAAAAATTAAAGAGATGTGGATGGCGACTCTAAATTTTTTTTTGGTCTTCCTTGATACTATATTGGTACAGCGTGGTCTTCTTCTTCTTCGAGCAATGGTTTGAGGAGCTCGAGCACAGCATTCTTCTGAGCGGTCATGGCTACCACCACAGCGTCGCGCGCTTTCTCGCAGCTCTGTGGATCCGCGAAAGCTAGAGTCCAGCGACCGTCGACTCGTTTCGTGCGACTGGGGGGCTTGGTTTGCTTGCGGTGAGGCCATTGCGGTGGCCGGATTCTTAGATGGAGCCACCGCTTGTGTTCCTCGTCAATCTCGGGCTGGAACAACCAAAGTTTAAGCGAACTTAGGAACTTAGATTTTCTTACCAGGCAGCCAGCCAAAGGAGCTATGACACGAATGACCCCCTTGGGCGAGACGCCGTCGGCCAAAACGAGCCAGCCCGCTGTGAAACTTACGGTTGGTACGAGATACATGTCGCGCTCTTTGCCTCTCTCGAATGCAATCCGGCACGGTAGCGCGTCCACGGAGCCTGCAAGATTGTCATCACGGTTTTCGAGTGTAGTTGTGAGGTAACTTACTTAAATCCACCTCGGTGCCTACTTTCGCTACATATTCGCCGCTGGATGACATGTCTAGAGGGAGTGCTTCTGGGACCGACTCGCCAATCAGAAGATGAAGTAGCTGGTGCAGGGCCACAAAAACCTGCGCTTTCTTTCATAAGTTTATAAGTTAAGAAGGGAGAGTTAAAACTAACCTGTATAGCTTCCTGCATCCTATCGGCGACTACAGAAGACGAGAATCTGTCTGGAGATAATCGAAAATCAGAATAACATAGGCAAAAAGAGTGTAGTACTTTTACCATCCAAAATCTTCCTTTGTGCTTGAATAAGTAGAGTTGTCGAATCATCTCGATAATAAGAGCCTTCCAGAGCTGGCAATGGTCGAATCAGAACCGTGACAAACTAAAGATAAAACATCGATACCTTTCCGAGATTTTTGCCAGACTTCAACGACAACAAACGGAATAGCATCACACCAGCAGTCGTCTAGTTCTTTTAGAACAGCCTCTTTAGCTTCTATGCGTGCAGTCTGCAGAAACAACTCGTGTCAGAAACAGCTTATACAAAGAAAGAAAAGACTTACACGAATCATAGCAATCCTCGAGCTGTGGACACTATTTTCCTGATGGTAAGGAAATATTTGCCGCAGCAAAGCACCACATTGCCATAACGCTTCTATGCAAGGTGGTGGACGCCTGCATAATAGCTCCAGAAGCTTCTTCACGACCTTCAACGTTCCAAATCATACTTTCAGCTCTTTACGTAAACAGGTAGCAAATTCTTACCGCTTCTTGCATACGCACGAAAGAGTTACACTTGGCATTTCTATCGTTTCTGGTAGCTCTGCAGAAGTTTGTGCCACGAAGCCTTTTTCCATCAACAGTTTTCTCACTTTCAACCTGAAGAAGCAGCACAATAAAAACCAGTACAAAAGATTGAGCACTTACCGCTAATGTGGAATAGTCGCAAACATCAAGGGTATCCTCGTCGCCAAACAGCTCTTCGTCTGAATTGCTTCCCATCAAAGCTTGCTGCAAAAAAAGTTTGCAAAAAACTGTCGTGAGCAAGGGACATAGTAAACAAGTCACAAACCAAAAGGCGTCTTTTATGTTGTTTCAAACGAGGAAGAAGTCCAAGTACTTCCAAAATTGCATCATCCACTGTTTAGAGGCCGAACTTAGAAACAATTGTAACAATGATGCACCGATTACCTTCATTGTGAAGAAGAGCCAGTAAAAACGTCACGGAAGCCACAATAACCCTGTCGCTATCAGATATAACATGTGACAGAACCAGCTCCCTGCACAGCAACGACATTAGAATGAGCGTCGTGTTTTTACGAGTAAAAAGCTCACAGACTACATTGGACACAAAGAAGAGACGCCATTTTCCCGGGTCAGGTCTGAAGCACTCAAGGGACGACGTTCCTGTTCCGGCGGCGAGCTATCAAGAAAGGATTCACAAACGAGCGCGGCAGCGACACCATTTGCCAACGGTTTGTGTCTGATGAGGCACAAAACACGAGCAAGCAGATAGAGCGCAGAGAGAGCATTTTCCTGTAATCGCCAAATGATCAAAAGGAAAAAACGAAACACACGTCCAGCAAAAATGGTACGTACTGAAGCAAGTGAACACAAGAGCGGGAGCACAAAAACATGCATCAAGTTATCCGTCATTGCGCGAGCCAAACCAGGGATGCCAGCAGAGACAATATCGTTGCAATAATCAAGGATCTCCTCCGTCTCTGCTATACATCCTTCTAATCTTGATTTACTCTGAAGTGGCTCATGATTCCTGGAAATACTACTTATTAGCAGGACATTTACACACTACTGAAAAAAGTCGTACCTTTCGGCATCGGCCATCAAAGCATGCAGTGAAAAACTCTTTTCTTTAAGGAAGCCCACGATGTCGGCGATGTATCCCACAGCCTTATCGCTTGAAACAAACTTTCTCACGCTGTCGTCATTCACTAACAAGACAAGACACGGTTGCAGCGCAAAACACGAACAATGTAGAATAGCTTTACCATGATATATGTTCAAAGTGAGGGTTCGTACTGCTATTCGCACCATACTTTCTTCGTGCCGAAAGAACTTGATCCCTTCTGTGTAAAGTGGGAACGACACCACATTGTCCTGCAAGAACGTTCTACAGTCATGTTATCAGAAATGAACAGACGCAACATACATTTTCGGTTGTTATGAAGAACGATATTGTGGTCTGATCAAGCTTTGTGCTTGTTGTTCTACAAGAAAGGAAAAAATAAAGGCAACCAGAAAGTCGAAGGTGTATTTACCTTAGAAAAGAAATGTAGTAGGCCAGCAGTTCTTCGTCCCGGAAGTCATAGGGATACGTGATAAAGTGGTTAAGGTACCCATTGCTAAATATATAGTCTGCCACACCAACAGCAAAACGTAAGGCCCATCCCTCTAGGAAAAAAAAAAGAAAAAACATTACATATGGCATGGTCACTCCGAATGTTTTGAACCATGATGTTGATAGTCTGTAGTAATTGGACCACAACAGCCGTGGTGTTGCTGCTAAGCTCGAGAATTTGCAGAAACAAAACCATTACTTGCTTCTCCATAAAGTACCTGTGAATAACAATCATCTCTCCATCCAAATCGAGAGAATGCTAGGTTCTTACTCAAAAATCGAAGCGTCTCGTTGATCACCCCATATCATAAGCTCCGCCATGGATCTAAGTATCTCTACCACCGAGTCCTAGTAACAAAAGAAAAAATTAAAAATTAAATTCCGCGCGGTAGAACTAGAAGAGATGGTGGATCCAATCCACACCTTATTCAAGTCATTGACAAAGCTGATCCTTTGCAATTGCTCAGTGAGAAATCTGGCGAGAAAACCATTCCGGGTGAGAAGAGAAGGGCGAGGAAAGAGAATTCAGCCAAACGTACTTGAGCTCGTCGAGCGAGAATCTCTCCCGCCGCCTCCACGGCCACATCGTAGCAGCGCCTCCTCCCGACAGCTAGACCACTCCCTACGGCCGCCACAGCACGACCGCGCACAGGGCACTCCCGCTGGACGCTAGCGGCGGCGCTACCACAATCGGCAGGCATTGCATCAAGGTGTCGAGGAAATGGAGCACCAGGCGCACAACAACGATCCAAACCCCAGAGTTCAGCATGTAGAGCCGACTTCCCGCGAGCTGGGAGCCAGGATCTAAGCGCGGCGGATCCAAAATCCGGGAGAATTGGAGCCGATGCGCGAGAACCTACAAACAAACGGGGGTCACAAGCCCTAGAATCGTGTCCAGAGCATATGCTAAGAGAGTGTTAGACTTAACACGTTGCACTTCCCACGCGGGGGTCGCGAGTTCGACCCTCGCCGAAGTACTGATACTCGCGAGCCTTAGAATTTATAAAAGTTGGCGCCAAAGTAGAACCCACGGGTTTAGGGCTGTGGCTAGGATGACTGCAGGAGCGTCTATTCAATACAACTCGAACTTCTTAATTTACGCCGATCTCGACTCATGGGTTACATTCGAGCATCTCTGGAGCTATCAACGTGCGGTACGCCGAGAGCTCTGGAGCACGCATTTACAAAGTAGGAATATGTACAGCGTATTTGTTTGCAGGATGAATGACGAGCTGCGGGCTGCGGTGGGAACATCAGATTGCTGGGTATGTGTTAATCTCTCTTCTTGTTGCTGTGAATGTTTGGCGTTCGGTTATAGGATTGGTATGCGCAAAACATGTCCTTGGTGGTGAGACGCACATCACTTGCGATGGTGTTGCTGTGCCGAAATGGGGAGGACGAGAGGCTGAACCGTCCAAGTTCTCTTTCCCGTCTCAAAAATGCCGCAAGTACTCACTCTTTCGCTAGCTTGTTCGCACAGGAGCGGCTGACTACAGCAGACTCCTATGCGTCAAATCACCTAGTGTGTCACATGGATAGCGATTATACAAGCGTTTTCACCACTCGGATTGACGCACTCGTGAGTATTGTATACTTTTACTCCGCAAACGAGCTTGTGATGTGCGAACTCGAGGAAGCTTGCCGCCAAACAGGGGCTGATGAATGCAGGACATTCAGAGCTTCTGCGACAGAAAGTGGCCAATGGAGTGACTCGAGAGGTGAGTGGACAGTTATACAGCGCCGCAGAGGACAAAGAGGAAGGCCCAATCTAAATATTCCCCGATCCTGCCGATGAATCTGAATCTGAAGACGAAGACGACTCGTCCAAAGACGAAGACATGACGCTAAGGCTATATGGTGTTAGACCCCATGGTTTCCGCCCTCTAGGAGTACACCCATAAACCGGTCAGTACCCAAACCCGTCACCTTTTGCCGGACAGGGATCCCTGCATAAGGATGATGGACCTCAAGGTAACTCTTTTTCTTCTTTTCTATATGTTGTTTGAGATTTTCTTATCAGGAAAAGGACCTCATGTTTGTAAAGTCGGCTCTTGCTAGTTTGTAATTAAATGCGGGAACATAAAAGAGTGGTTTGTA